CCCCAAAACCCCAAAACCCCAAAACCCCAAAACCCCAAAACCCCATTTATTCGAGAAAATATAGAATGGTTCAACTATTAATAAGATTAGCTCTTAATTATTATGGAATACGAAAAGCCTACTGAAAGACCAGAGATTGGTAAATTCTTAGCATTCGATCACCTCAGGTTCTGGGTTGGAAATGCTAAGCAAGCTGCCTCCTTCTACACCTCCAGATTTGGATTTGAAGAAGTTGCCTACCAAGGCTTAGAGACAGGAGAAAGAGATTTCTGTACCCATGTTATTAGAAACGGAGACATCGTTTTGGCCTTCACTACTGCCATCCAACCAGGAAACTCCGAATTCTACGGTGAACTCGAAACTCATGGAGATGGAGTCAAAGATGTAGCCTTCACTGTTGACGATGCTAGAAGCATGCATGAGAAAGCAGTAAGCAGAGGAGCTAAGTCTGTGAGAGAGCCAGAAGAATTGAAAGATGAGAATGGATCTGTGATTATTGCTTCTATCCAAACTTATGGTGATACTATCCATACCTTAGTCGAAAGAAAAGATTATACCGGCCCATTCCTTCCTGGATACAAGGAGTCAACAACTAAAGATCCAGTCAACGAGTTCATTGAGACTCCAAAGTTCGAAAGAATCGATCATGTTGTTGGCAACCAACCAGATTTGGAGATGGAGCCTACCGCTGAATGGTACGAAAAGATGCTCGACTTCCACAGATACTGGTCTGTCGATGACTCAATGATCCATACCGAGTATTCCTCTTTGAGATCAATTGTCATGTGCGACTTCGACGAAATTATCAAAATGCCAATCAACGAGCCAGCCCCAGGTAAAAGAAAGAGTCAGATCCAAGAGTATGTTGACTTCTATGGAGGACCAGGAGTCCAACACATTGCTATGAAGACTGACGACATCATTGATACAATCGAGAACATGAGAAAGAGAGGTGTTGAATTCCTCACAATCCCAGATACCTATTACGAGAATTTGAGGAAGGCATTGGCTGAAGCTCCAATTGAAGTAAAAGAAGACCTTGATGTTCTTCAAAAGAACAAGATTCTGATCGACTATGATGATAAAGGTTATCTTCTCCAGATCTTCACCAAGCCAGTTGAAGACAGACCAACCCTCTTCTTTGAAGTGATCCAGAGAAACAACCACAACGGTTTTGGAGCTGGTAACTTCAAGAGTTTGTTCGAATCCATCGAACTTGAGCAAGAGAGAAGAGGAAACTTGTAATGATATCAAAAACTAAATTATCTCAAACGTGACATTCAACATAAATTTGACTAAAAGGGGTTTTGGGGTTTTGGGGTTTTGGGGTTTTGGGGTTTTGGGG